CTAAAATTTTGGTTCTTCATCAAGAGTAACCATAAAAAATTATGAAAAAAGCAACCTAATTAGAAAACTTCATATGAAAAAGATCAGGTTGGTATCTCCAAATTTAAATGCATGATTTAATTTTGATATTCTATAAAATATGGACTACACAGAGAGTACAATGTATAAAATTTCACTTTATAGCTGTTGTTTGTATTACACTATCTAATCCCCTTATGCTTTTAAAAGCTTTGTGTTTTTACAAGGGTCCAGAGACTTCAGAGGCCGCATTTGAAAAGTCTAGGCTTAAAGTTCACATGCACTGCCTTTTAGAACCAAGTGCAAGGTGTACCAGTACAGCAACTTCAATGCTAAACTCTCAGCGTCACTATAAGAGTACACATCATACGCACATGTGCATCATTTCTGTATATCATGTGCATACTCTCTCATACATATCTCAGTGTGGCTCACACGTTCATATATACACACACATGGATGCAGGGAAACAAAAAGCAAGAATGGTCAGCTAAGATGTCTCTCTATTTACTGAATTACGGTAGTCTGATAGAGAATTTAGCTACTGTATTCTTTGCTCAGCTAACTGAGTTTATAAAAGAGAAATAAGAATTTATCAGATGTCTTGATGTGTACATGTTACACCTTCAACTAGAACTAGAGAGATAGTTGGCATCTAACTGCTGTATTCTCATGATTAGGCATGTGCAGGCAGAGCATGAATGCTCCAAAGCAGCCCTGATGCCCTAACCCTACAGCGAACAGCAGGAAGATCAGGTACATAAATGCCAGAGCTTTGCTTTCTTCATCAGTAAACTGTGCTAAGATTCCAACCAAACTTGGTAGCTGCATGATATCTTGCCTATTGTTATCCCCATGGCTGGTTAATGAGTACTTGCTCAATAATTGATAAACTTGTCTCAGGAAAGGTCTGGACTTACTGCTGGCCATTACTTTCATGGAACTGCCTGTTTTACAGCTATATAGACAGGTGTTTGCGAATATAAGAAATTAAAACAGAAACAGGAAAGCTTTTTAGTCCATTTTGCTAATTAATACGTCAGAGCTCATAAAGAAGAACTCTTTGGCTTTCCTCAATACTGCATCATCTTAAAGAGCTGGGTCAGCAAGGCTCTCCACAGACAGTTCAATGCATATTGAAACGATCCCAAGCAGTAAATCAAAACAAAAAAGAAGACAATACAGTACTCAGAAAAGTAAAATTTATAAGGCCTTTCTGGCAACATAGAGAACCATTAAACTATTGCTTTAGGTCTCTGTTCAGCATATAAAAGGAAAAAAATAAAAATTGCTTCTTAGACATACTTTTGGCTCTGAGTATAATCAAACTTGAAGGATAAGTTTTACAAGGGAAATGCCAAATTTCATGTTAGTTCCTCTGAATTGTTATGTTCTTCTGAATATTTAACTTGTTACATTGTTTAAAATATTTTTTTCTGCCCCTCACCCCCATATTTCTAGGATTTGTTGATCAATTATCGAGATAGGAAAAGAAGCTTCATATATTTTTGGCTTTTCAAGGCTCAGTGAAACTATGGCTTTGTCTTAAAGGAACTGAAGAAGAGGTATTTGATTTGTAATGCCTCATTCCCCAGATATGACCCCCTTCATGTGTGGAGGAGGCCCTGCAAGATTATCAACAGGAGAATCATCCTGCTTTCGTCCGTGACAAGGTAATGAGATGTCAGGCACTGCTAGGGGAAGCTGCCATGTTAGGTCTTTAGAGGAATTTCAAGAATACTAGATGGATTCCACAAGAGTTGAAGAAAACACTGTATTTGGGGCAAAAAATGTAGAAAGACTTATTTTACCTGTTTGTTTTATTTTTTCTGAGGGCTGAGGAATCAACCACTTAAATATTAAGTCAAGGGAAAGGTGCCAAAAGTCTAGTCACAAATTTGGGATGTACCCAAGCCAGGCCAATAAATGGAACTTGGCACAAATGGCTCTCCATGCACTAAGCAGCTGACTCAGAAGAAATTTTAACTCAGATGAATTTATTAAAATGTTGAATATCATTCCAAATAAGAGTATGGATGAGAGATTTAGGTCAGCAATGCAATTTAATTTAATTTTCTGATAGTCTTGCATAGTATTAAAGCTGCCCACATTTCTGGAATCAGAGACAGAATACAGTTAGCTTTTTTGTTGTTGTTGCTTTATTTGCTTAGCAAAGAAGATCCTAGTTTTTAATTAAATATTTAGGAGGAAGGATATTACAATCAAAAGTTGCATGATTCCTTTTAACAGTCATAAGAAAAGCAGGATAATTGAACATTACAAGTTAACATTCAACTTGGTTGTATGGTCACTGCTTGTAAAAAACTGAGACCATAGTTTTACATTAGGTATATTTAAAAAATTATTCTGCAACCAAAAGAGACTGTCAGACTTAAAGGGATCCTTAATCCTTAGCACCTCTATATTCCTGTCATCAGTGCCAAGGAAGAAAAATGTCTCTACACAAAGACGGCACACATAAGAGAGCTGCATTTATATGAAGGGTGAGTTCCTAAGGATTATTATAATTTAAGAATGATTTTCCAAAAGAAATACATGTAAGAAATGGAAGGAGAGTATATGGTCGGTGCATAAAGCGTATAAGCATAGTCTCATATTTTTCTCTATATTTTCTCAAAAGTGTTTCTTTTTAAAAAATCTGTTATTTATTCATTTGGTGCAGAGTCTCTCTATACAGCTCAGACTCGACGGGATCCTCCTGTCTGAGCCTCTCAGGTGCTGAGATAACAGGAGTGCTCCACCATGTTCGGTTTTGGTGGGTGGTTCAGTGGACCCAGGGCAGGGCTGGCAGGGATTGAACCTGGGTCCTTGTGTTTGCCAAGCAGGTACTTAGACTGCCAACCTATCTTTCCAGATATAAAAAAGTGTTTCTAATGCTTAACTGGATTTTCTCAGTTAAGGAAACACTGCACTATATAGTTGTAGGTGATTGTCTAGCACTCTTCATTACAAGAAATTTTTCTCCAAAGTTATGAAGTCTTTGGTTATGTTTTAGTATTTGTACTGGCTTCCACAAATACCCAGTGATAAATTCAACAGTGTAATGATAGGAAGTAGCATTTAACTTCTTAAAATAATTTAAAATATAAGAATAATGGACTGGAATGATAGTACATTAAAAATAGAAATCTTCCTTAAAATATCCCAATCTATAAATAAAGAGCAAACTAAAAGGTACATAATAGAAAGTAGGGTCATAGATCTTTCTCAAATGTGAAGGGGATCAAGAAAGGGAAGGATGGGAAGGGAAGAATTAAAGGAGGTGAAGAAAGGAACTGATATGTGTTATATACACATACCGGCTCACACAAGGAATGCAAAAATTAAGTACCACACATAGGTACTAATAAAAAGAAAAGAAAGTGTGAAGTCCAAACTAAACCTGTTATAATTAAGCTATAGGGCTCTCGTGATATGTGTATTGTTGAGTCAAAGCAAAGTTGCCATGTGAAGTTTGTAAGCATTACAAACAGCTGACAGCTTTAAAATCTTACCAATTTTTACTTCCTTTTTTACCTAAAGTATTACAGTATTATACTACGATGAAAATGTTTTCAGTTAAAAAGATAGACAACAGCCTCTCATTCCTGGCAACCAGTGATTTGTTTAGATTTTAACTCAGACTAGAATGTGATTTGAGTGACCACATTGATGAACATTCTTAAGAGCCACATGGATTATTTTGATTTGAATCTTACACAAGTACATAAAAAGACTTTTCAAGTCTTAATGTAAGAAAATTATGGTCAAAATCATGCATTAAGATGAAAATAAGATAGGTTATCCTTAGGGTTCCTCAGTCAAGAAAACTTCCTTATTGAGCTCCAAAAAATATTTCCAGTAGTATGAAATTTAATGGAAGAGGATGGTAGGAGCCCACAGCATGTGGAGATTCATGACTCCCATGGAAATCTTTTCTTTCACAGTGATCTAATCATTTAAAGCCCTTTATTAAGAAGAATGGGAAAAAAATTTCTAAGAGTTGTGCACCTCCGCATCTTACTGCTATCAGTGGAGAATCTGGAAAAGGAAGAAAAGAAAAAAAATGATTTTGCCCTAAAACATGATGGAGGTAATGAGGCATCGAGGCCACTTACTGCTGCAAACATAATTGGCACATAAACACAGGAGCTGCTCGGGGATGGGAGAGACAGCTTTGTTTCAGAAGCGGAGGGATGCCAACAAATCAGAACCTGTCTGCTGCATGGAGCAACGATTCAAAGAATCAAATGGATATTTTTATTTTTGTCCAAAGTAATGGATCCCTGGAGGAAAGGAATTACTGTGGTTTTTGCAAGCTTAGTAGGTAGTTTCAAATGTATGCAACTAATGTAAATAAATGGAAAAGTAAGGGCAAAGGAAGAGGAGGCAGAATGCTTGACAATAAAGGGAAACCTTGGGACTTAGACAAACCGATCCTTCAGTGGTAAAGCTCTGGAGACCCTGAAAGATCTGAGTGGGCTTCCCAGGAACATCTGGGGACTCCTTCCTGAGTGAAGACAGTACTAAGAGTCATCACTCAGAGCCCTCTTTGGTAGCATGGAAGCCCTTTTATTGCTCCTATTAAGAGAAAGAAATGACCACATCGTTCCTATTCTAGTGCTCTCTGTCTTGCTCTTTTAATGGGAAAGTCATCGTGAGAATGAATTTTTAACTTCTCTGGTTTTCAATACTTTCATTGGTTGTTAAGTATTCAGTTAGCATACACGTTTAAATTTTGTATTTATAATTTTTTGGAAACCTTTCTTCCTTCCTTTCAAGCATTTTGAGTCAGCATACATTATACCACTGTGCACACAGCCAAGCAACAATTCATCTTTGTGGATGTCAGAGACATCTCATGTATTAATTAGAAAGCCTTTCAGTGATGGGTGGGTAGAAGTAGCTTCCAACTGCTACTGAAATACGGACAGGGATTTCCAGGAAGAGCAATAGAATGCTGCTTACAAGGAATTTCTTACCCGGTCTAGGTCCAGCCAATGATTGTACTTTGCTTTCATCTGGTACTAGAGAGAAGAAATAAAAGACAAGGATTAGACCTATTTATAAATCAGACATTTTTTGAAATATCTATATATTTATTTCTAGATCGATATAAGTATATAATCATAACAAGTAAAATCTTTTACTGGAAAAGACTTGAGAATATTTTTTCTTCCATCCTACACTGTGGTACTTTGTTTCTTCTGAGGACAATTATAAAGACAGCTATGAAGAAATATGTTTGTTAGATCTATTATGAATATTTAAAAAATATTTTAATACTTCATTTTAGCTGGATTGTCATTTCTATACTTACAAGGAAAGAAACTAAATTTAAAAGCCTAGACATGTATAATATATTAGAAAGTTTGTTGAGCATAAAAAAAATATGTACAATTCCCATGGATTGGATTTTGGTATTTGCTCCAAATGAAGGAAAAGAAAAAAGATGTAGAATTCCATGAATCAATTAAAACACTGGACAAACTTTGAAATGGTGGCATTTGACTGATTAGATGTCAGTCAATGAAGGACAGTAATTCAGGGGCTGGGGAGAGAGTTCAGCAGCATTCGTGCCTGCCTGGCAAGTGCAAGGTCCTGAGTTCAAAAAGACAGTGATTCCTAAGAAACGGGTAATAAACGCAGCAAACCCTAAGGTTTCTCTAGCCCCAGCTTGCTGTCCAGAGAAAGTGTTTAGACAGCAGCATAGGGACTGGACACATTGCAGAAGCCAGTGATGTCCCTGGCTTTAGGACATGGTGCAGGATGTCCAGGGAAGCCAAAGCAGGTGGAGAACACAGGATGGAGAACCAGGAAGACAGCAGTCTGAAATTATAATAATTTTGAGAATTCCCTCATGTATTTGGTTGAACACTGAAGATCACCCATGTATGAGATAAGTACCCCAAGTGTTCACAAAGAGCCACCCCATGCTGAAAGACAACAGCACGTAAAAGTCACACAGGGCTGAGAAGAGTTCCTATTCTCACAAGTTAGAATGAAACTTCATACTTTAGGGCATCAGTTGGGCAATGAAGGTTCTTGCCTCAATAATGTGGAAAAATAAACTTTGTTTGAAAGTTAAAAAGCAGAAATAATTTCAGTAGCCTAGTAACTATTTTTTTCTCCAAAAAAGTTTTGTCCAATAACTATTTTCTCAAAATAAAAAAGAGTATATGTAAAACTATTTTACAAAGCAAATTTTAGACTCAGATGGCTTCACTGAATTTTATTGGGCATTTATGGAAGAAATAACACTGACCCTATGGAAGTTTTACCAAGGTTTAGAGGGAGGTTTCCTAGCCCATTCCACAGGGGCATTGATAACTTTTATGTGTTGTCGAGAAGAATACATGAAAACTACTAACTCATATTCCACATTTTGTAGATACAAAATTCTTAATCTTCAATCACCTCTGGGTGGCATTTGTGCCTGCCCACTTCAATATTTGACAGAAATTGTTCATTCATTTACCATGTCCCACTCTCAGTGCTAGTTCATCAAACTCTGGTGCTCAGGGTGGGAACTTGGTGACTGGAGCTTGCTAACAGGGAGGTCTTGTTCCTTTTCTCTCAACTGGACCGGTCCTAGTCACAAGTCCATCCCTCCTCTGCCAAGAATGCTCAGCCATATTTAACTGATCTTGTTACTATACATAATCTCTCCACTTTGCTGCCTTTTTCTTTTCATAGGCCTCCATCTTACTTTCTTTTTTAAAATGTATTCGGTGCAGAGTCTCACTACACAGCTTGGACTCGTAGTGATCTTCCTGTTTTCAGACTCCCCGCCGCTGGGGTTACACGTGTGCACCACCACACCTGGTCTTGATGGCTGGCTCAGTTTGCCTGAGAGTGGGGCTGGCTCAGCATGTGGTGCCAAGGATCTAGCCCCAGTCCTTGCGCTTGCCTAAACAGGTGCTTAGTCTGCTGAGCTATCTCGCTGGCCCTGTGTCTTTACCTTATAGATAAAAACTCAATGTGCCATAGTTATTCTGTTCTGAACTTAGCTCTTGCTGTAATTCCATTTGGGGGGGCCAGGGAAATAGCTTGAAGTAAGTCAGATGGTATTTGTCAGGCCCTTCTGGTGGGCAAAGCCTATCCATCCAATGCCTAGACTACACTTATAATAGGATCTATAATGTAGGAAGAAGAGCACTGGAAATCAATGATGATGATTAACAATAAGAATAACGGTTATGTTTTTGTCCTATATACTTTGTAACTACCATCAAATGCCCTTTAAATGTTAAGTATTATCCTATATTACAGAGAAAGAAACATACATATCATTTGTGATGAGATTCATATAAAAATTGCTATCTGGAACATTTTAAGAATGATAAGTAGTATGAATTGAATATAAGAAACTTTCAAGCACTTATATGCTGGGAATCTTTTTATGTATAAAGCTTTTTTATTAATGTTAATGAGGAAAAAACACAAAATAGCAGTGAAAAAGTTTAAAAACAGGTTGTAGGACAGTTACAATAATGAATACATTGCATATTGTTGTCTTCATAGTAGTTATTCAGAGGACAAGATGTAGATATGATACCTTGTCTAAACAATATTAGTACAAACTTTTCTTCTCATTGGACTAAGAGAAATCAGCTGTATATCTATGCTAACTATCTTGTATATACATATATATATATATATTTTTCACAACAAAACCATTCTTTATTTTTATCTCTTTTTTTGTTTTGTTTCGTCCGATGGGTGTTCCATTGCTGTTAGAGAAGCTGTATTTGGAGAAGTCTTTAAAGGATCTTTTCATACTGGATGCCAGACCAAAGATTGTAGGTACTTGAATTCAGCAAAATAAACCAACATAGTCCAATAGTGAGTTATCAGCACAACTGGAAATTGTCAGAAGTTGTTGACTTGAGCTTTTTACAGCTCAGCTTATTAATGTAGCTTTACTTTTTATACCTCATGGTTATGCTTTTCTGTTGGATGGTTAAGACCAAGTTAAAGCAAGATGTGTTGGTTTATACAATGGAGTATTACTCAGCAACAAAGAAAAATAAACTCGAAGCCTTTGTAGGTATGTGGATGCAACTTGAAGCTATACTCCTAAGTAAAATAAACTCACATGAATAAACATATGAGATGCACATGTATAAATATCATATTGTTTCCCTAGTGTAGGAACTCAAAAGAAGAAATGAAAATTGAAAGGTATAACACAGTTAAATAGGAAGAGAGAACTTCAGGATTAAACAATGAAGAGAGAGAGAGAAAGGAGAAAAATTAGGAAAAATGATAGGGGTAAAACTACATTTATATAAACAAGACAGTTAAGGCAATAGTCCTAAGAATCTCCATCAAGTTTTTGAAAATAGTAGTTAATGGGTAAAATTCTTACCCTGACTAACTCTATACGTTGATATCTGTGAACTAAGCAACTATATTGCAGACAGCAATGTGTAATACTAAAACCATGCTTAAAGTACCTGCCATTTTGGTCTTCTAAATGTGTGCTGCTTCTAATGTCACATCAATTATTTCTATACTCTCTTTAAAGTAAGTTTCTGTAAAAAAAGGTAATACAAGTAAACAGACAAGAAAAACAAAGTGTAGCAGGATTGTACTGCTATAATGTTGTATATGGTTTGATTTCTAAATTTCTGTGTAAAAAATGTATAATTTTTTTTAACATTTTATAGGGATTTATATTTTAGACTATTCATGCTTATTGGAAAATAGCAGTTCCATTTTATGTCTAAGGTATGTGATGCTCAGACAGATAGTGATGTTAAGCTTAATTATCTCTGTTGAAGAATAATAATATCGGCAGGATCCTGAATAGACCCAGGCCTGGCAAGTGAGTAAGAGTACCGGGGCCACAGGATCCTGAATAGACTCAGAGCGCAGGCCTGGGGAGTAAGTGAGATGACCCAGGCCGCAGGATCCTGAATAGACCCAGAGCGCAGGCCTGGTGAGTGAGTGAGACCACAGGGGCCGCGGGATCCTAAATAGACCCAGAGCACAGGGCTGGCGAGTGAGTGAGATGACTCCGGGCCCTCCATATCCCGAATAGACCCAGAGTGCAGGCCTGGCGAGTGAGTGAGATGACCCGGGGCCTGGCAGGATCCTGAACAGACCCAGAACCCTGGCCCGGAGAGTGAGACAACCTGGGGCCCGCGGGTCCTCATTTGACCCAGAGCGCAGGCCCAGAGAGGAAACCTTCAGCAGAACTCCCTGCAAAGAGGCTAGAGGCAAGACCCACCCAGCTGATTCAGGAGCAGAACATCTTGCCAGAGTGACACAAAGGGTTCAACTCTAACGCCTGCAGCAGAAAGAAGTGGAACACAGCAGCCAGATCCAAACAACATCCACCTGGAGGAATCTGAACTTCATAGATC